TGGTACGAATTGGGAATTTGGACTTTTTAGAACATTAAAACCGACCTAAAATTAATTTATAGAATATTTACAACTAAGTAAAAGATTCAATAAGAGCAAAATGGTCTTAACTTTTATTTTAAAGGATTATAAATACTTTTCAAACATGTAAATTAAATATTTAAATATTTTGTTGCTGTTGTTCATGTTGTTGTTGTTTATTTATTTTTGTTGTTTTTCGTCAGTAATAGTTTCATTGTGATTCTCTGGAATAACTATTCTGTAGTTTGTTATTGCATTTCATTCTTTTTTATTTGATTCTACCAAAGACTTTCTCCAGCCATCTTTAAGCATTTTACTGAGCTCATTTCTTATATCCTTATATTCAGTATCATAAGCATGGTTATAATTTTCTTCACGATCAATTAAATGGTCGTACAATTCCACGCCGCAATTGTTTTCCCACTCTGTTTTATATTGAGGCTCAAAACTGAACTTCGGCCAATCTGTATAGCGGAAACGATCTGTGCAAATGGTATATCCCATCCTACCACATCTTTGGATATTGCCAAAATGGAGCTTTCTTAATTGGTTGAGATGGATGTTTTATCAAAGGCATTAGGCTCGAACCTTCGCGACACAACGATACGTTAGCCGAGTTTTCCGGACAAACCGGTAATTGTTTCAGTCCAGCTGCTTCAACTAAAGTTGGATATAAGTCAACAAACTCCGTAAGCTGTTCAAAACGCAATCCCTTATCTGTAAGTCCAGGTATGCTGATCATCATTGGTGCGTGTGCGGCGAGTTCGAAATTCGAATGTTTGTTCCACGCAGTATGTTCACCTAGGATATAGCCATGATCACCGAAAAATGAGATCACTGTGTTATCTGCTAGCCCAAGTTCGTTCTGTTCCGTCAAAACACTGCCTATCAAAGAATCAGTCCATGTTGTTGAACATTAATATGCCCGTCTTAGCTGAAGAGTTGTTGAGTCCGGCAGAGATACATTTTTCTCGCCGGATGCGCAAGACGCATAAATATCAGCATATTTTCTGAGCCCTCTATAATCAAACCATGCAACATCTGGCATGTTCTCAGGAATATATGGATTGCTCGGTAGTTTGACTGATGAAGGAGGATAATATTTCAAAAACGATTCTGGAAAAACAAATGGCAAATGAGGTTTGTGAAAACCTAGAGCCAAGAAAAAAGGTTTTTGACCTGACTTTGCACCTGGAGCAAGTCTTTGTAATGTCGTTATTGCTTGGTTTGTAAGTTGGGGTGATCTCTTAGGGGTTTATCTATGAGCAGATCATCGGGAATTGCAGCCCATGATGCATCAAATGACTCAAAATTAGCTTCGCCGTGAAAGTAGGGTTCTGACCATGAGCTGGGATCGTCCCAGTTAGAGGATGGGCCATGATGGAACACTTTTCCCATTCCAACGGATACGTAGCCGTTCAATTTGAAATATTGAGGCAATGTTGTAAAATTTCCACCAACATCCCGAAAGTACTGTTCAAAATCATAGACACGTGTAGTATCTGGTCGGCGCCCGGTCAAAAGTGAAGATCAGCTCGGCGCGCATATTGCAAGTTGACAGTAAAAAATGTGATAAACAAGATCAACAAGGAAAGGCGGCGTTCAATGAACGCAACCCCCATATGACCCAGCAACAAGAACCAACGGCAAGGAGCCCAGGCGGACCCCAAACATAAAAAGGACAGGGCAAAGACAGGTTAATCATTAAATAAGTAAGACCTTTCTAGAAGCAAGCTACGCGAAGCCAGTGCATCTATATTTGGTGTGTGCATTTTCGGAGACACCACAGCTGGAAATGTTTTCCTTCATATGCTCCAATCTGTGGCCGCATATCGTCTGCCATTAAGAACAAAACGTTCTTCCGACTCAAACATATCTGAAACAATGCCATAAACACCACAAAACAAAACAAGAGTCCTTGCACATACTTATCTCTTCAAACATGACAACAATATATTTCAAGTAAACGATAGCCTAAGGTGTAGTCTTTAAGCTGTTGCAATAATCGGATTATCGTAAATGTCTTTAATCACAGATCAATCGCAGCTTCTCGTCCCTTTCCGTCAAACTAATTCGGATAAGGACCTCGAGATTGATGAATACAGAGGTGTTCCGAAAGTCATGATAATAATTTATTATTTATTATTATTGATATTTATGTGCACTTTTTGTACAACCCTTAAGCTGAACCCAAACTAGAGATATGTAAGTTGAGACGCAGCGCATATTACCATTTTACATGCATATATGACTTCATTATGAAATTCAAATTTGTCATTTTTTAACAATGGCAATTTGGTTGCTTCCATTGTACCTTTTATTATAAAAGGCACAAAAAAGTTAAACCCTTCATATAGTTCACAAATGACTTTGTTATCCCCCACCGAAAAGGCGGCGGGGGTTATAGAAATAGTATCCGTCCGTCCTTCCGTCTGTCCTTCCGTCCGACATTTTTGTCTGGAGCATATCTCAAAAAGTAATTGAGGTATCAACTTGAAACTTCATAGGTGGATGGATCTCATTGAGGAGAAGTGCAGTGCACAAGAATGATAACTCTATCCTGCATTATTTTTGAGTTATTGCCCTTTGTTATTTTTCAAAATTAATTTTTGTCCAGAGCATAACTGAAAAGGCCTTTGAGATATCAATATGAAACTTCATAGGTGCATAGATCTCACTCAGGAGGTGTGCAGTCTGAAAGACTGAATTTCTTGAAAGAGTTGATTAAATCATATTATGCGAGCTTCAATAACTTCAGTAATAAACTTTCACGAATTTCATATTTCTTTTTATCACATACCAAAAATAACAGTTTAAAGTAAAAACTTCATTGAAGCGCCTGTCGTATGACACTTAACATTTATCGCGTCTTTACTCTATGTTTGTATAACGCTAATGACATCACATAGCAATATATGCACGGCAGTACAGTACCATATTTACAGAGTCACAAAAGTGTCATAGGTATGTGATAAACTTGGATATTTACCTCATCATCGTACACTAATTGTTTTGTATTACATAAATTATAGATTTCCATCTGGTTTACAGCAAAAAAAAACTAACAAAATATCACATGTACCTCATTCGCTCTTAAATTAATATGGACGGATTTATAATGGCAAAATGTATCTGTTTTATTATTTAATATTAATCTCAGAAACATATCTTTCATAGGGAAGAAAATTTATCCTTACTGTTTGTATTTTACTTTCCTTACATTTGAAACTTTTAATACATTGTGTTACATAGATACTAGCATAGATTGTGTTTTATTGGGAGCTAGATATATTGCCACCTTAGTGCAGTAACAGATTAACTGTTTATATAATTATAATAGGAGTTATCTTATTACTGCACCGAGGTTATGATATGATTAAATCGAAACATTTCCTGTTCTGAATTATTAAGGTCAAATTTGTCATGTAACAGATTTTTTTTAAGAAAGATGAAAAGTTGCACATTTGATCATGTTTCATTTTTACTTTTGTGTTTTTGACAAAAGAAACTGTTTCTTACAAAATAACTTGATCTGAAAACAAAGTTAAGGAAGGAGTTCGACCAACTTAGAAATTGGAGACATATGTCATAATGATTAGGGACTAAATTCTAATGGTTTTCATGATTTTTAAGACCTGTCATCATAATAAGATGATGCTAGCAGCTCTATTTTTAGTACAGTAGCAGTCTAGACTCAATTTGCATATATTGTGACCAATGTAAAGGTGGTGTGTGTGTGCGGGGTGGGGGTTGGGGGTAGTAATACTGCTAATATTAGGGGTAGTACATGTAATACTGTTAATATTGAAATCTTTGAAATTATTGAAAGTTCAGGACAAAGAAAATCTGTTTCTCAAATGCAGCAGTAAGAAGGCTACACTTTCAGAATTAATTTGATAAATGATATCATAATTGTAGCCGGTTTATACCTGGACAAGCCAATTACAAAGGTTTGCTTGATTTTTAGAGTTTTGATGTTCGGAGTCCCTTTAATTTCATCATTATATTTTTACATGAGAAGGTATCAATGATACATTTTAATGTCCTTTTCAACTTTCAATGCTTTGCAATGAATCACCATCAAAGATTCAGTTTTTTGTTAGATGATAATCTCTATGCATCTCAAGGAAGGTAATGTAGTGACATAAAAGAAATTATCATTGTTAACAGATTTTTTAAAGGTTTAATTGCCATCTATTCACAGTTCTGAAACTAGATATGTAGAAAATTACTTCACTTCCTGTTATATTATCTTCTGAATGGCATTCAGGGTAATAAAATTAAGGGTAGTATATGATACGAGGGGTAATCCAGAAATACCCGGAATTAAGCCATAAATTCAATATTATTTATGAACTGTTCACACAACAAACTCTGTATTAATGGGTAACATATCCTCTTTACAAGGAAACAAGAATTATAACAATGAAACACACTATGGCCACCACATGCATATCTTAGCAAACATAGTAATGTGCATACAGCGCAGTCTGAACGTTAAATTATCATAATTGTCATAAGCATTGACGTAAAAAAACATACTTAATGTTTTCAAAGTATTTGCCGCTGTACACAATATCAGGTTGATGCCTGATAACCTTTTTGGTGAATAATTATCTTCTCAAACCATGAGGGGTCCTTTTGTTGAAAATTTCGGATTAAGCTCACTTTTAGTTTGATAACAACTCAAACCTATGAATATGAAACTGTTGTTTGTTTTGCTTACGGAAAAAAATCAAAAAATGATACACATTTTAAAGTTGAAGGCATAAAATATGTTTCATTTTCTACATGATTTTTAATAAAATAACATAATTATGTGCATGATAAAATTAAATATTAAAAATGATAATTTAAAAGATAAAATGTACGAAAATGAATTAGATAAAATGTAGTTTTCGTTTACAAACTTAGCTAATTAGTCCTGTATTAGAAAGCAAATGAAGCCATCAAATTATATTTACCAAATTCAAAAAAATTTAAGAACAAGTTTTGGATAAATAAAATACAGAGTAATACCCAAAGTAATCTAAGATATATGCAATTCATTAATTAGAATTTTGTAAAAGAAAAATCACATTAAATTTTCGGCAAAGCCACACATGACAGCACTTTTGCCTTTTTCAAGCGCCAACGTGATGTTGTGAGCATCCTTCTATTCCAGCAACGAAATGTTTTATATTTAAGATTAGTCCAACTTTCTGAAAAAAAATTCTATATCACTTGATAACTTTAGTTTGACTAGCAAGATACTTGTGTCGGGTTTCTTTTTTCATATTAGATGTTTTTGATGGACGCTATCCGAACTGTTCATAAATGTTTATGAAATGGCAATTTTCAAGACACCTTAATGACAATGTTTCCAAATAAATTAATGTTGCATCAACAAACCATTGAAATTTGATAAAGCCAATTTGAAATTTGATAGAACCCATTGTTTAAATGAGATGAAATTTAGCATGACATTTTTCGAATTTTACACGAAGCTCCGGCAGATTTTAGACAACACCCATTTTTGTATCAGGTTGTTTGGTGCATTATAAATTTCAATGTTCTTTGAGCTGTGCTGCTATGGTAGTTGCATGGTTATTTAAAGGTGGTGTTAGACGTAGCTGGATGTCATTAAACCAAATAATATTTTCCATTTAAATAGATGAAACATGACACTTTACGCAGGTATAAATTTAATGAAAACAAAATGAAATTTATCAGAATTACAAACAAAATGCAGGTAATTCTGGATCATCCCTTGTACGCAAGTACAAGGAAAATTACGTCTCCGTTAACTTTGCAAGAAAACCTGTAAGGAAAAAATGTTTTCTGTTCTTTTGTACATAATTTTATGGAAAGTTAATGTTTTGGTACAATAAACATTACTGCTCCCTTTTTTAAAAATACAAATTATATCTTTGTAAAATAAGATAAAGACTGTTTAAAGTAAACAAGAATCATTTTTCATCGATGTGCCTATAGTTTAATGCTAACATTTAGCATGTCTTTACGCTATGATTGTATAAGGCAAATGACGTCAAGTCAAAATATCTGCACGGCAATGCAATACCATTTTTACGGAGTCGCAAAATCGACATTGGTGTGTGTTGAAAAAGTTTACTTCTTTGTTTATTGGTGTATGTACCGGTTATCATACAGCAGTTTGTTTTTATCTGTTATTTGAATGTCGTCTATAAAAGTTTTGACTGATAAGAGAATAAGCGGCATTATGTGCTGGACGAAGATCTGTTGAAGCAGTGTAACAAGCTATGGCATCATCTAACATGCCTTGCTGCTCCATGCATTGTGCAAGTAAATTTAAGTCAGTTTCCCTGTGTCCGAGATTAGAGTCAGAGTCTATTGCTTGTCTTAGTTTGTCAAAAGCTGCCTGCTGTCTCTCCATGTTACCTTGAATTTTCTGGACTTTGTACAATAAGAAATAATAGTAAGGAATTGAGTCTACCACAGCCCAGTCCATCCAGTAGTCCTTATGAAGAGCATCCATGTTTGGGCGGAAATATTCATGTTTTAACTCCTCTGGGACACAGTTCACTTCACATGGTAAGAACCTTACACAAAAAGCTGTGTGTTTTAATACATGTTTTATATCATCTTCAACACAGACTTCTTCAAATTCATGTTTAGGCTTACCTCTATCTCGACTCTGGTAGCAACAACAAACCGATTGCAAACGTTCAATGCTATATTGTTCTAGTATTGTATCAAGTATACTAATAGTCTGAGGCATGTCTCCTTTGCAATAGAACACTGATGCCCATTTTAATGTTGATGAGATGTCATTAGCTGATCCTTGATCTAACATTACAAGTGAATTTCGATGAATTGTTTCATTCTTTGAAATACTGTTGGAAGCCAGGACTGATCCCAGAGACATATATAAGAAGTTGGAAATAAGTTCACATGCTTTTAACTCATATTCCGTACCTTCACTGTGAAAGGTAGTAAGCTTATCAATAGATACAGACAACTTTTGGACAACATTTTCTGTCTGCAAGTGTGTCAGTTCAGTCAGATAGCCACCAATACGATTACTGAGGCTTCTCATGAAAGTAAACAATAAATGTCCAGAAATGTTTTGTTTGTATTCTAAAGCTGATGGTACTTGTATTGTTACAATGCATCCCGGGTACACAGTTTGAAACTGTCCAGTGATTCTCATACCAAGCTGGTCAATTTCGATATCTTCAAGAGCTTTACCGTCACTACGTAAAATATTTTGGATTATTGCTAGAATTTGTGGCTTGATGTCTGGTGAAATGCGTCTCGCCATCAAATTGTTCTCTGGTATAAGAAAGTGTGGACAGTGTTCTAACAAAACACAGTCATGTAGAAATTTCATGCAAGTATTCAAACAGTTTAGTAAATTATCATCTTGCCAGAGATTTTCTTCTTCCTTTTCAATGCAATGAAGGAGGACTGTTTTACAGATGAAACTTGATAAGGCATCTTCAGAATCAATACTTTGGTAAGATTTTAATATCATTTTCATCAAAACATAACACCTGATTTGAACTATGTTTAAGCTGAACATAAGCCTGCGTTCCGTTAATGATGTTGATATTCTCCATTGAAGTTCCTCATTTTCAGTACCACGGCAACCAACAGGTACAACAAAACATCCATCATTCATAGCTTGCCTCTTTAATTCTTCAGAAGGCCAATTTCCTGCACTTGCTGCTTCTGTCAATATTCTGGCCTCCCTCGGCCATGATTTACAGTAATACGCATACACAAGGTCATCATCAGCAAATCCAGGTAAACCTTGTATGGACTGTGATGGACCATGTCTTACCCTACCATTGGGTAATGTTTTTACAAACCAATCATTCTTCATCAGCACTCTACTTCTACTGTCAACATAGAAATCTTCACAAGGGGGGTAATTAACCGGCTGTGGAACATCGTCGTATGTTTTTTGTAGGAGACAGTATCCTGGTGGTGTGTTAGCATCACGTACCATCAACAAATTTGTATATCCATGACGCCATTCTGAAAGGTCTTGTATAATGTTAAACTGGTTGTTACATGCCAGGGTGTCAGAGTCTGCACGAAGACCTGCTGTAGTCGTTCCTTCAGTGCGGCTCCCAAAATTATATGGGGTAAATTTCATATCTTGTAAGTTCGCCATCACTGTCCGGAGAGATTCTTCTGTCATTACTGTTTGCCTTCTTTTAAGGACCATGTCATCATTTACACCAATGTCATCAAGGACCTTAGAGAGTTGTAGTGACACACTTCTTGTATGGTCTGTTGGATGAAACATTCTGCAAAACATATAGCCCGTTTACTAAGTCAATTTCATATAGGTGTTTATAGCAATTAAATGGATTGGAAGGATTGCATAATTTCTTAAAAGCTAATTGCCTCCAGAACGTAAAATGAAAAAATGAAATAAAATTTTAAGGTAAATACTGTTTTAATTAGGATTAATGTGTAAATCCATTATTACTGACAGGATCTTGCAAATAGAATGGTCTGGAGTTGGACCAATTTTACGAAAAAAGATGTCTCGGCTGAGTCATGTGATAAGGTTATCCATCATGTGGTACAATAAATTACTAAATATAATCAGAATCAATGAAAAAATTCTGTGGTATATTTAAAAAGATGGTATATCCTGATGGCAGAACATCAAACTCTGTTTTCAATACAAAACTGTTAGAATATGAACATATGAGGGATTTTGAAATCTTAGTATGACAGTAGATTATTGTTATCTTCTCAAGGCAAATTGTTTTAAAACATAATTAGACACAATTGCAAAAGTCATGTTCTTAAGAAAGTTTTTCTCAATTTGAACAACATGCAAAGAGTTCAATTTACAGATAGAGGGCAACTTAAATTTGAGGGATTTAACTTGAAAGTAGGACATTCACTATACATTGCTTTAATGTTGATATTCCATGGAAATGTCAACTTATAATCCTTGATATGTCATATCTAATTAAGTCATAGGTTCTACACATGCAAGGAAATAGTAACTTATTATTCCCCAGAAAAGCTGGAAAGTTTTTATATGATTCTAACAATATCAGTGTCACTTACATGTACAACTCGACCATAAAAATGAAAATTTTATTCAGAGCAAAATTTTATTGGACTTTTTTATTAGATTTTATAATTATTATGCAAAAAAAAAATAACAAAAAACAGCATATGTTGTTTTGCACATCTGTTTGTCAGCAATTTCCTGTTTGCTTTGTATCTTTTGAAAGGATAGGAGGAAATTGAAACTACATAGGAGAAATGTTAACCATAACAAGATGATGTGCACAGCAAAAGTTTGACCTTCCTCAGGTCAAGGTCGAGGAAATTAACATTAATTAGTAGAAATGCATCTTATGACACGGAATGCAGAACACATGTTTTTTTTGTTTTTTTCAGATCAAAATTAATCCCAAAAATGAAATCCTGCCCCTCGGGGAGGGGGTCATATGATTTATATACACTTATATACTAAGGGATATGCTACAAAAGCTACAAAGCCCAGAGCATAGATATTTGGATATTTGGCATGAAGCATCAATTTATACTCTTCTACAAAATTGATCATAATCATGACTTTGAGATCAGTAGTATCTCTGCCCTGGGGGTCACTTCCCTATGGACACTTAAGGTACATCTAATTTTTTTGTGGTATGGAGACTAAAGGTACATCTATTCTTTTGTGTTATTCATAAAAGCCCAAAGCTAAGATATCTGGCATGTAGGATTCCCTAGTAGTTTTATACCCTAAGGATAATTAAGAAAAAAAACAATTTCAGACCCCCCCCCGCCCCCATTTGCGGTTTCCTTATTTTCATAATGAAAATGATATTGATCTTTAATGCTGTCATAATATAGAAAGTGTGTTTTTCAGTTAAGCCTTTGTTATATTATTATGTAATACTTGTAAAATAAGATTTCTGTAAAAATATTTCATCCCTTTAATAAAGCAGAAATCGTTGAAAAATTGTTATTGCAAACAAAATGTAAAACATACTAAAACGTTAAACTGATAAAGTCTATAAAAGATAAGAATAGAATTATTATACTCACATGTTCACACAAGCATTAATATCGAAATAATACACTGAAGACTTTAAACAGCCAGCTGCTTTTCATTATTTCTCTGTGAAATCTACTGTATGGTAATTTACACTCACATTTATTTAATGTTCCAAGAAAGATTTTTTCTCTCCTTTTTAATCCCTTTAAATATCTTCCCTATAAGATTGAGATAATGGATGTTAGTGATTTTGAAAAAAGGAAAATATCAAATTTTTTAGCAAAAGATGATTAATAAATCATGAAACTTTTGATAAAATCTTTAAATCAAACCCACCTGAATTTGTTAGCTGTAATCTAAGTAACTTTAAGGAACATAAAAGAACCCAAAGAACTTGAAAGTTTATTTTACATCAAGTTGAATCGTTGTTTTATTATTTAGCTAATTTTATTATTATTTTTATTAATATAACCATATTATTATTATTATTATTATTATTATTATTATTATTATTATTATTAATTATAAGGTAATTAATAGCTCCAAATTAAGACTGCAACTAAGGAGAATGACTCTTGTTTACAAACATGGACTGAGAATTATAACTCTTGGAGAAAGAAGCACTTATTGTCCCCCGCCTTTTCGAAGAAAAAAAGGGGGATATAGTAATAGGCTCCGTCCGTCTGTACGTCCGTCTGTCCGCACTACCGAATAGGGATAGGGGGCCATCTAACTGTAAACAGAACAAAGGAGAACAATAGAATTCATTCCGTAACAATAGAGTAAGGGGCCATTGGCCCTCTATTAAACAATAGAAAATAACAAAAGAAACGGCCCCTTGTTCCATTTCGGCCGTCCGGACGTCCGTCAGTACGTCTGTCCGAGCAAACATTTTGGGTTTAGGGGCTATATAACAGTAAATAGAACAAAAGAGAACAATAGGTTCATTCCGTGATCAAAGGGTTTAGGGGCTAGTAGCCCTTAAGAAAACAAAGAAAATAACAAAGAAAATAGCCCCTAAAGCCAAAATGTTGGAACGTCCGTCCGTCACACTTTCGTGTCCGGTCCATAACTTCATTGTCATTTATCAAAGGAATCTCAAATAACTTGGCACAAATGTTTGTTATAATAAGACGATGTGTCATGCGTAAAACCAGACCCCTACCTCCAAGGTCAAGGTCGCACTTGCTCATTCTAGGTCAACATTGTCTATTTGATGGTCCATAACTTTCTTATCTTTGAAGGGATTTTGTAAATACTTGCCACAATTGTTCACAATAATTAGACGATGTGTCATGTGCAACAACCGGTCACCTACCTCCAAGGTCAAGGTCACACTTGGAGGACAAAGATTAACATAGTCTATTACAGGGTATATTTAGTGTCCGGTCCATAACTTTTTCATTTATCAAAGGAATCTGAAATAACTTGGCACAAATGTTTGTTATAATGCCTGGTCCATTACTTTCCTATCTTTGAAGGGATTTTATAAATGCTTGCCACAATTGTTCACAATAGTGAGACGATGTTTAATGCGCAACAACCGGTCACCTACCTCCAAGGTCAAGGTCACTTTGAGGTCAAAGATTAACATAGTCTTTTACAGGGTATATTTTGTGTCCAGTCCATAACTCTTTCATAGATCAAAGGATTTTGTAAATACTTGCCACAAATAGTCACTATAATAAGATAATGTGTCATGCGCAACACCTGCATCCCTACCTCTAAGTTCAAGGTCACACTTAAAGGTCAAAAGTTAACATAGTCTGTTTTAGGGTATATTTTGTGCCTGATCTAGAACTTCTTCAGGATTTTGAAATAACTAGGCACAAAAAGTCACAATAATAAGACAATATGTCAGGTACAACACCTGCATCCCTACCTCCAAGGTCAAGGTCAATGTCACACTTAGAGGTCAAAGGTCAACAGAGTCTGTTATATGGTTTATTTTGTGTTCCGTCTATAACTTCTTCATAGATCAAGGGATTCTGAAAATACTTGGCACAAATAGCCACAATGATAAGATGATATGTCTTGCGTAACACGTGTCCCTACCTCCAAGGTCAATGTCATACGTAGAGGTCAAATATTTACATTGTCTGTTATAAGGTATATTTTGTGTCCAGTCCATAACCTGGGATTTTAGAAATACTTTGCGCAAATAATCACAATAATAAGATGATATGTCAGGCGCAAAACATGGGTCCCTACCTCAAAGGTCACACTTAAAGGTCAAAGATTGACATAGTCTGTTATAGGGTATATTTTGTGTCCGATCTATATCTTCTACATAGTTCAAGGGATTTTGAAAATACTTGGCACAAATAGTAATAATAATAAGACGATATGTCATAACCTGCACCTCCAAGGTCAAGGTCACACTTAGAGGTCAAAAGTTAACATGATAGAATTTTAAATTTGGTGCTTCATTTTACTAGTATTTCTTTAATAAATTTATTGTTGCATTTGCAGATCTAAAATTGATCATAATTTTGGACTGAAAGTCCTGAAATCCATACCTCAATCTCTTGAAATAGCACAATTTTGATGCTTCAAATAAACTTCCCCGAGGCGGGGGACGTTGGTAACTCTGTTACAAGTTCTTGTTAAAATGGTCTTTATGGCGGGATGGCCTTATCAATGGATAGTATTTTCAAGGCTTAGTCATATCATTGAAATAATAAATGACATTTTTACATGTTAAAATCAAATGTATTTGGACAAATGCCGTTAAGATATGTAGATATCTACAGTTAAATATTGAACCTATGGCTACGTAAACATATAAATGGATTGCTTGGTAACATAAAGAAAGTAAATTAAAGGGAAATGTCAACCATATAATTATGTTAAATAGCAATTGATGTACAAATGAAGACGTCTTGCTTATTGCCTATACGATTTTTTATGCTTCTCTTGTCCGTCTGTCCGTCCGTCTGTCCGTTTTCTTGTCCGGAGCATAACTTGAAAATCCTTGGAGATAATTTGTTTAAACTTCATACAGTGGTAGAGGGCATTGAGGGGGAGTGCAGTGTCAAAGAAGTAAAACTCTATTTTGCCCGGTGTCGCGTTATAATCACACGGGCGTAATTTAACCACGGTTTACACATGTTTTTTAAAACTTGCCTGTAACTTTATTTACAAACAAAGCGCTGTGAAAATTGATATAAATCTTCCGCATAGAACAATTATTTCGATGCATGTATTTGAATATTCTGACACTATTTATTTTCTCCAGAATATATGCGTGAAATTGAGCTAAATCGCCAAATTTTGCATCTTTCGTAGGGCAATTTGAAAAACCTGTAAGGTTCTAAAAGTATTAAATTCATGAAAATAAATGCTTTTAAAACTTGTCAGGGGTGTTAAACTTTGTTTCTTGTCCATTGTTTTATTTCTAAATTGACTAGAACTAATCTTAAGCTGTAGTTGAAAATGGCCAATTTCTCCGAAAACTAGGTCAAATTACCCGAAAATTTTGCCCAAAAGGGTACTTTAAATTTAAAACTTGTCATTCATTAACATACACATTTATTCTTAAGAATAAAGGTCTAATAACTTGTCATATATTTTAATATTCACAATTCAATGATTGGTTTTAATCAACAAACGCCATAAATATATAAATAACACGATTTAAAGCGGCTTGTATCCTTCGGTCGTTTTTCAAAATGGCGGACAAATTCTGTTAAAATGTGATCTATATACTTTCTTTTAACTGATTAAGTATGTTTTCCCAACTCAACAGATCATTAGATAAAATTACAATTCAAATTAACAATGGAACTCCACAGCTTTAGTGCATTTAAGTCAGCTGCCATTTTGCCAATTGAGGATCATTTAACTATGGTGTCTGATTTGTGCCATTTCGTTATTTTGTTTGGTTGTGGTTGTTACAAGTAGCAAAACCTAATGAGAAACATATATAACAATTTATTTTGTCACACACCTTTTTACCTTTTTCAGTATTTTGTGAATATAGGCCCTTCAACAGCAACAACACAAAAAAGATAAAATGATGAGAGGGGACACATTTTTTTTCAATGTGTCATAGGGTGAGAGAAATGTGCAGCCTGACTGGAACTCGAACCCGGGACCCTAAATAGTGAACAGTTCTGAACTGTGACATACTCCCCTGCTATATTGAAATTCTTCCTCAAATTTCACAGAGTTACAGAGAAATGTTAATTAAATTCTGAGCTAATTATTATTCAGTCACGGTCCCCCATTGGGCGCAAAGTGTCAATGGGTGAGAAAAATGTGCAGCCCGAGCAGAAATTGAACCTGGGACCCTCGGAATACCATACCGCTGCTCTACCGACTTAATTAGCTATCTGGCCGCTCACACATAATCTCCGTTAAATAGTGAACAGTTCTAAACCATGACATACTCCCCTGCTATAATGAAATTCATCCTCCAATTTCACAGAGTTACAGAGAAATGTAAATTAAACTCTGAGCAATATTCAGTCATAGTCCCCTGTTGGGTGCCAAGTGTCACTGGGTGGGAAAAATGTGCAGCCTGACCGGAACTTGAACCCGGGACCCTCGGAATACTGTACTGCGGCTCTTAGTCTTATTAGCTATCCGGCCGCTTACAAATTATCTCTCCTAAAAAGTGAACAGTTTTGAACCGTGACATACTCGCCGGCTATATTTAAGTTTATCCTCGAATTTACTGAGTTACAGAGAAATGTTAATTAAACTCTGAGCTAATGTGCAGCCTGACCGGAACTCAAACCCAGGACCCCCGGAATACTGTACAGCATCTCTACCACCTGAGTTATCAAGCCGCTTACACATCATCTCCCCTAAATAGTGAACAGTTCTGAACCGTGACAATAGAAAATAATTTTGTTGCCCCATATTTAGCGTACAATCGCCTTAAATTTGGCGTTTAATCATACTGTCACCTGTGCCTGACCCATCGATGACTCTCTATTTTTTTCATTGGGTACCAAATGTCACAGGGTGAGAAGAATGTGCAGCCCGACCGGAACTCATACCTAAGACCCTTGGAATACCGTACCACAGCTCTTACTAACTGAGCTATCCAGGGGCTTACACATTTTCTTCCCTGAACCGTGACACAATAAATATAGTATTACATCAAGGACTTGCCTTTTTTGTAAACAAGTTAAATACCAAATAAAAGGTATTGGGAAAGGTCTTGTTTATTATATTGTCACCACTACTGTAAGGGCCAGCCATTTCTGACTTATGAGACACCTATAAATTGCTTGCATATCATGTACCTCCTCTTCCTTCCTATGCCAGGCACAAGGTGGATAGAAATTGGTAACCATTCATTT